TACTCTTTGTGATTGGTTTTTGGTCCTTTGTATTAAACTATACATACATGCATGGTGCTGTTTTTTTTTTCTAATTGTTTAAGCAACTTTATTAATTATATATGGTTTATAAACATTATTTTAAAATATTATGCACTTTTTTTCAAAGATAGTCGTGTTATTTTATTACGCTTTGAAGAAACGTGCATAATATTTTGCTCGATGCGCCCTCTTGTGGCCTCAGGAGAGAAGCCAAAAGCTTTTTTCCCCCTAACAGAAATTATGCCTTTTTAAATTCGAATATAATTCGAATTTTGATAATATTTAAGTAGAAAATTCGAATTTAGTTTTTCAGTCATTTTGACAGCCCTACTGGTTGCTGGTGCATATAAGCTTCAAAAAGAAAACCATCATAAAAGTAATACATTTGATTCATGCACTGTTTTTCAAGTCTTCCGAAGACGCTTAAATTTAAGTTGTTATTCACTAATATAACTCTCCTGGACACGTTCATGAGTTCTTGAGTGAATCATTTGTTTCGAGTCGCATATTTTCAGTGAATCCGTTCGCAAAATTCACTAATTAAAATTGTAAGTTGTGTAGTAGCAATCAATTAGCAATGTGTAATCCTTGAGAGAATTGTTTTTTTGAGTCAAATCTTTTTATTGAATCAGTTGATCACAGAACTGATCTGATTCAGTTCAACTCACTGACTCAATTCAGTCACAGAGGTGAAGATTAGCAGTGAATAGTGACTAGGGGTGTGCAATATTTATCATCTATGATAATATTGTAATTGTTGTTTTAACGATGTGTGAGCTGACATTATCAAGTATGTCACTTAAAAAAAAAAAAAACACATCTTGAGAGTCCAAAGCATTCATTGTGTGATAAAACATATTAGGGGTGTGTGATATTAGAATACTATTCTATGAAAGCAAAGTAAGTTATGAAAGCAAATATCCCTGTATGGGTTTTTGTTTTTTATATTTATAAGATAGTAGCAATATCACACAAACAAGAATGCTGTTTTCCTGAATATCAGCGTATGAGCGTGATCGCAAATGTGATATTAATATAACAGTTCAACAAACAAGTTACATTTTAGACACAATAATGTCTGTTTTTTCTGTTTCGCCAATGAAAATAGTTCCAAATAAAGCCAAAGCATAACATTTGTGCGTCTTTGAGAAACACTGCAATGTTTTTTTCATAAATGAATCTGTTTTAGAATGAATCACGTGAGTCAATGATTCAATGATCCATTCATAAAGACAGTCACTTGCTTCGTTTCTAAATGAATCAGCCGTTTTGAACAAATCATTTGAATTTATGATTCAGTGAATCACTCATTAAGACAGGGACTTGCTGCCACCTACTGGCAGTGACCCTCCTACATCAGCCAAGGTACCAGCACAAAAACACACTTAGCTAAATATAGTTTAATTATCATTATCTAAAAAATCCTAGAAAATATTTAGATTTTTTTTGCAATGTCACACACCCTTAAAGGTGGGGTAAGCGATTTCTGGTAGCCAATGTTGACATTTGAAATCACCAAAACAAACACGCCCCTACCCCAAAAGGGTCTCACCCCTATTTCAAGTTTGTTTTGCTATTCGGCCCGAATCAGTTTTCTAAAGCGTTTTTGAAAAATCGCTTACCCCACCTTTAATAGTGACTTAAATTAGGGGTTGTCCTTTATTTGAAACTTTACAGGGCTCCAGACTCATTCTTCCCACTGGTCGCTCTTTTGCGACTAAATTTCTCAGTTGGTCGCACAAGCACATGATTCGGTCGCAATTTAAAAAAAAAAAGATTATTATTATTTATTTATTTATTTATTTTTGCGCTACAACATGAGATTAATCAATGCATGCTGATGAACTTTTATCATAGTTTATAGTTATATGGAAACGAAAGTGGTTAACATTCAACCCGCTCTTTTTCATCAGTAGTATTATTTGTGATTTGAATTTTGTGAACGGGAGTTCCTCTTTTGCTATGTTGTAAGCCGGGCTTCGGGTGCTTTCACTTTCAAATTCGCAATCTTATTGTCACGTTTTACAAGAAAAGATAATTGTCTGTTTTGCTTACATACATCTACACACCTTTCACTTTTTTAAGACTAAAACAAAAGATCGATTCATTATTATTCTTAATTAAAAAGCACAACAACAAAAAAACAGTAAGATACAATGACAAACTAGCTTACAAAATACACCACATGCTGTATTATATACCGACTAATAAATTACAGAACGTTTAGCAAACACTGAGGAATCAAATAAATAAAAAAGAGAGCTTACATAGCATAACGTGAGGCAAACAGCAAAGATAACAAGCTTTTCAAAATGAAAACAAAAAGAAATGTAAAACTAAACTTGCTGTCGGTGACAGTGCTCGCATGTTTTTTTTCCCCCACAAGAATACCAACGTTCACCTTCTCTGGTTTAAGAAGTGGTCTTTTACGTTACTTTAGCTTGAAAACCATCCATCTTTTCCTCAATATTCGCGTCATTTTTGCTGCGTGCAGCTTCGCGCTCGTGCTGACATGGCAAGTATAAACCAGGCTCTACTCTCTAAGCGCTGCGCAGTTCAAACAAGTAGCGCTGTTTCGTTATGCTTTCAGTTTCGTTTGTCGTTTGATGTTTTTCATTAAAGGGGTGGTTCACTGTTTTTTTTCTAGGCTTGATTGTGTTTATGGGGTGCAGTCTAACATGTGTTAATGCTTCGTTTAAAAAAAACGCATTATTTTTCACATAATTTACCTTTATTTCACACCGCTCTGTCCCTTCTCTGAGAAACAGGCTGATCTTTTCCTGTTTTTATGAAGCCACACCCTCAAAAATAGAAACAGTTTTTGATTGAAAACAATCAAAATGTAAAAAAACATACACAAACAAAACCAAATTAAACACTGCGGCTCGTGACGATACATTGATGTGTAAAGACACACTCTACACTCTACTGACACTCTATCTACAATCTCAGATAGGCGATGGGCTCTGATTGGTTAGCTAGCCCAGTGTGTTGTGATTGGCTAAACCACCTCTAGTGCGCATCTAAACGTCCCGCCCCTCACCTCAGCTGCATGTGCTCCGGTTGTATAGTAAACAACGGTGTCATTAAAGGGATAGTTCAGCCAAAAATGAAAATTTGATGTTTATCTGCTTACCCCCAGGGCATCCAAGATGTAGGAGACTTTGTTTCTTCAGTAGAACACAAACGAAGATTTTTAACAGTTGCAGTCTGTCAGTCTTATAATGGAGGTGAAGCTTTTAATTTACGGTTTTATCCTGATTAAAGCTTTAATACAGTACGGCATCTGCACGCTCGTCCATGTATAATGCTTCTCATAGCTATGTGAAAATAATTGGAACAGTTCATTGTTGGAGCTGAGATGAATGAGAGAGAGAGATGCAGAGCAGGGGGACGTGAGGAACAGTATTAAGAACCGCTGCTTTAGAACATTGATTTTGAAACTTGTGAATCAATTAGAATCGTTAGAAGACAGAATCGCGATTCATATATGAATAGATTTTTACGTGCACCCCTAGTTTTCTCTTCCTCTTCTCTGAAGCAGCTCAGCATGGCCTCGCCCCCTTTGCTGCCTTTTCCCGAGGGCGGGGTTTATCTGGGTTTGTGATGTCACGATGAAGTAACTCGTTGTAGTCCCTACCAGCCGTTTTCGTAGGCATTAAACAGCCAGAATTTTAAAAGACGATATCTCCGTTTGCATTGAACTTTCAGCTTCGTAACTTTGTAGATATTGTTTATGATCAAACAGCAACATTACACACTAACTAACGTTAAAAAAGTGAAATCGCAATCAACCACCCCTTTAAAACAGAGACTGACTGGATGCGCTGTTAACGAAATCACCTGTGCATTAATTTTAAATATAGTTATGTTAAAATTTTGCAGTCGCACCAGTGCGACCTCTAAAAAAAAATGTGTCGCAACAGCAGGAAAAATGCTCGCAAAATGCGACTATTTGTTCGCAGTCTGGAGCCCTGCTTTAAAGCTTCAGTCTCCATTCATTGTAATCGCATGGAAAACAGCAACCAGTGCAGCCTTGGGAATTTCTTCTTTTATGTTTGATGGAAGAAAGAAAGTCAAGCAGGTTTGGAAAAACATGATGACAGAATATTAATACAGTAACTGTTGCTTTAATCCTGCATTGTCATAATTTTTAAATCCTGCACTGAAAAAGTCTTATAGAGAGCGTGATGTTTTATTTGGGTTGTTGTTGTAGCTGAGCGTCTGCAGTGGTGGTGTGTTGACGTATGGCTGTATACATTTACTGCGCTCACAGTGAGCTGCTCTATTCATCAGTCTTAAATAATACGGCTGCACTTACTGACCCTCACTGATTGATTTTATTGCTCTTGGGTTGAGCTAGTGTACTCGCGGCCGAGTGTTTGGGGTTTGTTGTTGCAGCGGCTGCGCAGGTGGACAGCTGATTCAGCTGCTGTATTTCTGCTGTCAAATTAATGATTCCTCGTTAAGTATAGCTTTGCGAGCACGCCATTTTTTTTGCAAACGCTTGACGTGTTTTCTTTGTTACTGTGGCTGCACCTGACCTCATTACTCGAGCTTTTTTCAAATGTCTGTGTCAGTAAACCAGATTTTGTTATTATTCAGAAAGCTAACTATAAACATGTTGACTTGAGTTAATATTTTCCATCCAAAGTGGTGGACCTGAAAGTACCATAGAAGGAAATATTGTTATGCTAATGCATGCTATAGCACCCCTTGTGGCAATGCAGTGCATATGTGTGTTGTTCTAAACAGACTAATTTCACAGACTGTAGTAATGTATTATCCACTATAATAAAGAGTTTTCCACATTATTATTATATTACAATTATAATGTATAATGTACAATTATAAATTATATATTACAAAATTATTATTTTTTATTATATATATATAATGTAATGTTTATGTGTGTGGTGTGTAACAATTTTTCAATTACACACACATATCATTGTATATTATGTATTATTCCATGGTCTGTCTGAATACTGGATTCTGATTGGCTGGCAGGTATGCAGTAAAACCGTTTAATGCACTATAGATAGATAGATAGATAGATATACACACAAACATACATATATACATATGCTAACAAAGTTTGGTAAAATGTTTTTAATATATTAGTTATTTTTGAATTATTATTCTTATTATATTTTTGTGTGTATATAAATATATAAGTATGTGCATGTATATACAGTATATATATATATACTGTATATATATATATATATATATATATGTATGTGTGTGTGTGTGTGTAAAACTTTTTCAAATATTATTACTGTTCTATGTACTTAATAGATTAATGCATACACACACACATATATATATTCTTATATAAAAAGTTGTTTTTAAAATATTAATTTTAAAATGAATTAAATTTATTTTTTACATGATTATTATTATTATTATTATTATTTAGTGTACATTTACAACACTTGTTTAATTTTACCTTGGCATTAAATCACAAAATCCTCCCAAAAATTTGGAAACACTGCTTTTTCCTATTTTGAAAATTTGTGCAAATGTAATAGTGCATTTTTTTTTAAACAAATAGAAACACAATGGGATTAGTGTTTGTCTCCCATGTGCCTCTAAATAAGTTTCCATTGCTTTAGTTTCCTTCGGTGTTCCAAACATGACATTGTGAAAATAGTTGCATCACACATCTGAATTCAAAAATGCATGTAATTGTGCTTGCGTCATTGAAATCATCTGTGTTCTTCTGTAAAGTATGTTTCAGGCCTCATAAAATCACTTGGTGATTGCATTTTTATTTCCTGTGTTGTTTCGCATTTGATTGTTTCGTGTCCCGCAGTATTTTCGTGTTCAGTGTGCACTGACAAACTCAGCAGGTTAGCGCAGTTTCAATCGGCAACTTTCATTGAAAACGAGTGACTTGTGGTTGCCTTATCGCTTCAGATCTCTTTGAGTGTGAACGCCCCTTTAAGGTGGACTGATTCAGTGGATTCCTCTCGGTTGAAGTGGGCGGATTTAGGCTTGTTTACAGCCTGTTTTTTTGCTTTTGCCTTCATGGTCTGCAGCCTTCTGTCAGAGACTCCATTTTGTTTTTAATAAACTGACACTTATTGGTTGTTCAACGTGAAGGGTGTATAAATATATACGTGTATGTGTGTGTGTGGACTGGCTGTCTCCCAGCCGTACACCCAGAGAATGCAGCCCTTCATATGCTTACAAACAGTCCTTGGAAATCCTACTTACACAGAGCGCTACTACAAGAAGAGGAGTGTGTGTGTGTGTGTTTATAAATATGTGTCTGTGTCTCTGAATCTGTCTACTCCATCACACACACACACACACACACACACTACATGCTCTGTGCCATGCACATTTCAGAGCAGCATGTTTTGTAACCATGAGGACTCTGGGATTGGCTTGAGCTCCGTTTGCGGACTGATGTTTTGAATGTTTAAACTGGAAATAAAACACATCGATGCAGCCAGTCGGCGTAAACACAACCTAAAATCCAAATCCAGAAGATTGTGTCATTAGACTAGCTTTGTGATTCCTCTTAGTCTCCCAACTAAACACAGATATGATTTAATAACGTTCAAGCAGCAAAAACAGCATTAGAGTTAAGTTTGATTAAATTCTGTTAATTCAGTTCAAACTCTCCATTTCAGTGAAATGATTCAGAACTCTTGATTCAACAATTCATTTGCATCAGCAATGTGGCTTTTATTAATATATAATATTTATTTTTTTAATATATATATATATATATATGTTAGTTTCTTTTTATATTTTATATTATATTTATTTTTATTCTAGTGTTGTAGTAAAAATAAATATAAATTTTTTTATTTGAAATATAAACGTAAGTAAATATTGCTGTTAAGGATATTAAATATATTTAATATCTTAATATAACTAGAATTTTTACTTTTTTAACCTATTGAATGAAACATTTTAAATCTACTTTGGTTGAAATGTTGGTTTCTCTAAAAAACTAAAATATTTTCAAGACCTTTCAGACCAAAAGCACAAACATAAATGAATATCAAAACAAGGCAAAGAAATATTTACAAATTTTAGCTAACTTTTTTATTTTTATTTTTTTTAATTTTTTAACTTTAAACATTTTGTATTTGGTCTGTTGAAATGATGTTCCTCTAAAATGTCTTATTAATTAATATTGTATTATAATATTATTAATATTATTATTTTACTTTTTGCACAAAAA